CCATGTTTTTTTTTAATCCATGGGAGGCCTGCCCTTTTCTGAATAGAAATGGAGAAGTGGATTAGAGAGCAAAGGGAGGGACTGGGCATAGACAAGGGATTGGAAACTATCTGGGGTGTAAAAAAATAATAATTGATTAGTTGTTTTTTAAAGAAAAGGAAACGGTGTGTCTTTAACAGCCACTTACAAAAAAATATGTTCTAAGAAATATTATGTTATGTCCTTGAACATGTACTTTCTGGTTACTTTTAGCAACTATTCAAACTCTCCTTGAGTTTCCTTCCCTCTCTACCACCCTCTAAAAAGTAGTCACATGTGATCACTGGCTATTATCAGTCACTTCAGTAGGACTCTGAGAGAACTGGTCATTTAGAGGTTTTGGATAATGATTGCCTTTAATGAGTTGCTGCAGCTCCTGGACTCCTCTGGGACACAGAGCCTCTTATGTAGGGGTGTGTAGCAGGGGAGGTGTGTGAAATGTGGTGTAGACACTGGAGAGGACTGAAGACCTGGTGACTTCCTGTGACCATAGTGAGTAAGAAGAGCAGGATCTTTTATCACGATTTAGGAGTCACCCTTGGCCATCCAGGTAATTATCAGCAGACTGGGCTGTTTCCTTACTGGCCTTCCAACTTGAGAGTATTTTATCTTTAAAAATAAAATTGCATATTCTCAGGATAGTTTTTTAGATGTGATAATATTCATCTTTGCAGTCTCTCTGACACACATTATTGTTATATAGTGGAGTATTTGTTTTGTGATTAACATTAATAAACACCTTATTATCTATGAGGGTCTTTGTAATGACTCTTTCTCCATCTTTTCTCCCAAATTATATCACTTCAAGCTAATAACAGGTCTGGGAAATTCATTTCAATTCTGTAGCCTACTTTGGATTTTTGTGGGGAAAGACTGACTCTGTTCCAGGTTGGACTCAACTCATGGTGGTCTCTAGCCTCAAACTCCCAAGTGCTGGGACATAGGTCTGCACTACTACACAGGGATCAGTTTTGTAGTTCTTCTGTCTTTAAATCTCTCTCTCCCTCTCTGTCTCTGTCTCTGTGTATGTCTCTGTCTTTCTTTGTCTGTCTCTTGCTGTCTCTGTCTGTGTAGAGGTCAGAGGATATCTGGCATCCATGAGCTCACATTTCACAATACACAATATTTTATTGTTTGCCATGCCATATGCCAGGCTAGCTGGCCTGCAATCTTTCAGAGATTCTCTTATCTCCAACTCTTATCTTCCTTTAGATCACTGGGACTACAGACAAACCTAGCCTATCCTTCATGGGGGAAGTAGAATTTGGGGAACTGGGTTATGGTGTTCCTTACATGTGTCATTCCTCCATAATACTGAAACATGATTCTAAAGTGTACATCAATGAATGCAGCTGCATTAAATACCCATCAACAGAGTGAAGTCTTTTCCATGTGGTTTTGTGGCGTATTGGGCCACAAAGTATTACAGAGTTGAGCTATATACCTAACCTCACATTCCTTTAATGCCCTCCCTGACTTTCTTTGCCATCTTAAAGTATGCTGGGATGTTCATTAGTCAAGACTGTCTAGAAGAAAACAGGAAAACAGAACAGAAAGAGCCATTTATTTTAAGGATACAGCTTACAGCTTAGACAATATTGGCAACTGCGGGTTTAATATCTACAAAGCCTGCCTCAAGAGTCTCTAGGAAGAGTAGAGACTGCTGGCTTGAGTCCAGAGCAGTCTGGAGAGAGAAATTTTCTTCAGAAGACAGCACATTTTCTTTTATATCTTTCAAATTGCTCCATGAGGCTTGTCATGTTGTGAAGGGTGATTTGCTAGGTCTACTGACTTCAACATTAATAATATCTTCCTAACAGCATTAAGAACTGGCACTTGTCAAATCTTGTTATCAGTGACTAAGGAAGGATCCATCACTTGATGTTATGTATATATAAGAGAGAACTCAAGATAAATATTGCATCTCTGTACATACCTTGTGCTACTTTTTGTATCTTCAATAATTTATAAAATGATCATCATATTGATCTTCCTACGTCAATATTAGTGACATTCTCTGTGGTATTTTGAATCACCAGAATTTCTGAAAACAGTCATACCCTCATACCCTCAGTGTTTAGTAAATACCAAATTACCTTTCTGAATTTGATCACATTGTGTCAAGGTTTTGAGTGGTTAAGCTAGTGAGTTTGCATTCTGCAAAGTTTAAATGTATGTATTCTAATTTTAATGGGAATTTTCTATTTTTAAAGGTGAAGAATCTCACTTTTTCATACCTCAGCCTGCATTACAGCCAAGAAATATTCAGGAAACATAGGTAACATCCAGGTACCATGCCAAGTGTTGGCCCTGTTATAAGATAAAAGCAGACATGATTTTTCTTGCATGTAATTTGAATTCTGGTGGGAAGTCTGCTCTAAACCAGTGATCAGAAGCACCAGGGGGGCTGTAAGTTAAGATCAGGATGCTATGTGAACATGGCAGTAGGTCTTACCAAGCAGGTAGGCAAAGATTTTTCCAAGCAAGCACTAGCTACTATACATGAAGAATAAGTGGGAATAAGTCAGATAAAGCATGCTCCATGGGAAGAAGTTAACAATTACAAAGGGAAAGGGTTGAAAAATAGAGACTGGAAATTATGGCTTCAATTGTTATCCACAAAGAAGTGGAATGCAAGAGTCACTGTGAGCCCATATGTCACCTAAAGGGTAGGCACAGGTCCAGTAATAAAGTATTATTTGTGCATTCAAAAAGAATTTGCCTTTATCTTAAAAGCAATGATAATTCCTTGAAACACTTATTAGAAAAAAGATCAGATTGTTATCTTAGATTACAAAGGTGTAAATGAAGCGTGTTGAAGGAGGGCACTGAGGCAGGAAAAGGGGGTATGAATTAAGAATCTAATATGATATTGCTAGAGATGCACCTTGTTCTAGGAATATGGTCTCATGGTGAAGAATGCAGGGAGTTGAAATACAATAAATAAGAGAATTACAATGCCCTAAATTAAAGTGAGAAATGAGTGGATGCAATAAAATATACCCTTTTTGATTCTGAATTGATTTTACTAATATAAGAGACAGAAAAGGAAGACACTACATGAGTAGGGATATCAGTTCCTCTGGGAATCTATTGTGACACAAACACTCTTGACACACCCAATGGAAGATAGTTAATGATGGGATATATATCCTATAGTTAGGAAAGACACCTACCTACAACTGAGTTTAAGTGACAATATAAAATTTTAGTGTATATAAATTTTTTTGGAGAGATAGATAGACAGTCAAGCAGACAGACAGACAGATGATTGATAGATAGATAGATAGATAGATAGATAGATAGATAGATAGATAGATAGATAATGGAAAACACTCAGAGAATGATAAAGCATGAAGCAATCAAATTCGTTTAGGATAATTAACAAGGTAAGTTCAAGAGATGCAAATAGATTTTATGCAAATCAAATAAAAAACTGTTTAGGAAAAGACTAGCTGGTGAAATATGTTAGACAGATTTAATAAGTCCTTAATAAATATTAATATAGACATGTTGATCTGAGCAGTATATTTATTGTGATAATGTTTTGTAGAGCATGAAAATATGCTACTTCTTTTGTTCATTATCCAATGAATTTGAATATTTTCACCTTCATTTGGAATGTTAAGTGCTACTATTATTTTTTTTTTCTGAAAAGGCATTGGAGTAAACAGATGACTAGAAGGAACCAAACTGTTGTCTCCCAGTTCCTCCTCCTGGGCCTGCCTATCCTCCCAGAGCACCAGAACCTGTTCTATGCCCTGTTTCTGGCCATGTACCTCACCACTGTCCTGGGGAACCTCATCATCATCATCCTCATTCTACTGGACTCCCATCTCCACACACCCATGTACTTGTTTCTTAGCAACCTGTCCTTCGCTGACCTCTGCTTCTCCTCTGTCACAATGCCCAAATTGCTACAGAACATGCAGAGCCAAGTTCCCTCCATCCCCTATGCAGGCTGCCTGGCACAAATATACTTCTTTCTGTTTTTTGGAGACCTTGGGAACTTCCTCCTTGTGGCCATGGCCTATGACCGCTATGTGGCCATCTGCTTCCCCCTTCATTACACCAGCATCATGAGTCCTAAGCTCTGTGTGAGTCTGGTGTTGCTCTCCTGGGTGCTGACCACATTCCATGCCATGCTGCACACCCTGCTCATGGCCAGAGTTTCTTTCTGTGAGGACAACGTGATTCCCCACTTTTTCTGTGATATGTCTACTCTGCTGAAACTGGCTTGTTCTAACACTCATGACAATGAATTGGCAATATTTATCTTGGGAGGCTCTTTAGTTGTGCTCCCTTTCCTTCTCATTATTGTTTCCTATGCAAAAGTTGTCTCCTTCATCTTCAAGGTCCCTTCTTCTCAAGGTATCCGTAAAGCCTTTTCTACCTGTGGCTCCCACCTGACGGTAGTGTCACTATTCTATGGGCCAGTCATTGGTCTCTACTTATGCCCTTCTGCTAATAACTCTACTGTGAAGGAGATTGTTATATCTTTGATGTACACAGTGGTGACTCCCATGCTGAACCCCTTCATCTACAGCCTGAGGAACAGAGATGTGAAGGGAGCAGTAGAAAGAGTAGTTTGTAAAAAGCAAATTTTTTCATTCCTGTGATGGTAACTCTTCAGATTTTTATATAATTTCTCTAGAAAATATTAATATTAACATTGGATGTTGCTACAGAATTTTATCTCACTGTGGATCCTTCTGTTTAGAGATCTCACAACATAACTTTCACTACACAGATTGCAGGGAGTTTATAAAAGTTGTTGAATGTGGGAAATAAGTTTAGGAGATCTAAATATGCACTCGCTGTCTTGCCCATGTGCCCTGGAAATTTCAGTGTAGACAGAAAGTCATATCTGATTCCCATGGTTATACCAGGATTTTCTCATTTTGTCCAAATGTCTGCTGTGAGTGTGTTTTTATAAAATGTATACTCTATTATCTCAGATCAATACCTAATAATATTCAAGTATTTTACCACAACCAGCCCTTTTCCAGTCTTTCACAAGTTCTTTCTACACCCTGTCATTAGATAATTACACAACTTAATTCCATAGACCCTATCTTTATTTCATTGTCTATATTTGTTTTCTAACTTGTTTTGACTCTTAAAAGGATTTGGAAGTCTTTAGTATATTGCTCTATTTATTGTACTTTTTTTTCTATATCTGGTATTAATCAGTAGCCAGGGACACCTTAATGTATTTTCTCAAAATCAGATAAAAATATTTGGTTACACTTTGTTGCTTTGTTTTGTTTACTTTTATCTTCCTTTGGGGGCATGATTTTATTTTGTTTTCTTGGTTTTGGAGGGATTTGTTGTTGTATTGGTTTGTTTTTTAAAAAGATCATAAAATTGGGTGAGAAGGGAGGGGAAGAGGATCTGGAGGGTGAGAATATGATTCAAATATATTTAACTTGTAAGATTGTTTTAAATAATAAAAATAAAATATCATAATAATTATTT